GCGGGGTGCTTTAAGTCAACACCAGATACACCTGAGGAATTCATGCTAGCATACGTTATTTGTTTTTTTTCTCGTAATTTCTGATATGTCAACTTTCGCTGACTGAGTGAATAGCGAGCAAAATTTTCCAGATCTTCCATTTTATTCATCAAGCCGCCATTCTGAGCTTCCGTTCAGGAGAACTTTCAATGGAGACTTAGACGCCCTATACAGTCTTCTACAACGAAATTGACACCCATTCAATTTATTTGCCTTTTTACCATCGAAATAGATGGTGGAATAGTGACAGTATATCCGTCATTCATTTACTTAAGCAACTTAGTTGTTTTAGTCATGATGCTCTGTAGCCCAACCACTGCGAAAGTGTGATGTATGGGAGCCGGCTCTCGCCTTTTCACTTAGGCTTGCGGGTTTCTATTCCGACTCGGGACGAAGATTTAGCACAATTTCCAAAGGTCAGAAGGTTTTCTGTGTTTATACTATTTATTTTTCTATTTCGCTGTACAGTCGTTGTTGCGCTGTCAAGAGTGATTGCCTTCGGTCTAGAGGTCTCGGTTTCAAATTCCACTGACATTTTTCGAAATCCCCCGCGCAGTTAGATCGTACACATTAACCTCTCAGATACTCTGGTGAATGCTACGAGGTTGCATACAGTCAATAATCTTCATCTTGAACTTGCAAGTGACTAAATGAGTGAGCCGAGGACAAAGTTGTTTAACAGACGAATTTGAGTGAAAAAAATTCAACTAGAAACAAGACTGGATTGACGATTTTTCCACTTTGCTGCCACGACCTACCTATGGGTTCACCCATTAAAACTGCAAGTTTAGAAGGCAAGGTTGGATGGGTGGAAGTTCTCCTTCGCATATAACGCCTACCAATGCAAACTTCTGGGCTAAGCTGCGGCATCTGGCGTTCAGGTGATTGGTCCAGATATAGGGCCTTAAAGTGGAGATGAAGAAGCTGCGGAATCTCCCTCGCTTTTCATCCGAAGAGAATGAAAGTGAGCGAACATACGCCAACACGGCTTCTTCGGCTGTGTCGATAGAGGAGAAAGAAAATAGTAGGTCGCTAGAGCTCGATAGGAATGACAACCAGTGTCTTGTGCGAGAAAACCATGGTCAGACGCGATCTCAGCGAACAAAAAATCTTAGGGCACCTCGAAAAGGCACAGAGATTCAGACAAGGGAACAAGAGTTGGCTACACCGCAGACGAAAATCGCGCCGCTGAAAACGACAAATGATCAAAATATCGTAGTAGCCAGGCAGTCATGCGTTAGTCCTGCTGAATCAAACCTTCCTAAATCGGTGGAAGGCGGTAGTCGGAATATCCGCGATGATGACTCTGCAGGTGTGCTTAAACCACAAGGCCGTCTAGTTGATCGCAGTAAATGCATTGTTATGAAGGGCATGCCTCACTCTGTCTCCGACACTCCAAAGAACAGAATACAGCATGACATAGAAATACTCCAGGAATATCTCAAATCGATCTTAGTAGGAGACGAGAAAGTCACAGTACTAAAGGCTTTCAGGATGGGCCAAATGACAGACTCAAAACATGAACCAGACCGACCGAAACCGTTAAAAGTTTTCCTTGAGAATGACGAACAAGCGCAGCTTCTTTTGTGCAGGAAATCTGCGCTCCAAAATGCCCATCCATCGGTTTTTTCAGCGGGACTTTTCACCCGCGGAGCGAGAAAAACGGAGGGGTTCAAATTGGAAGTCCTCAGGCGGTCGAGTCTGGGCGAGACAAATCGCAGAATACTGGACGGAAAAATTATACGTGTCCAGAGGCCATTCCTCTAGAGGAAGCCAATAACTCTAACAGCTTAGGAGTGATAGAAAGCAGTTCATCCCGATCTGCTCCGACCGGCTTTTGCATTAAATCCCAGGAAATGGACAAACGCCTGTATGCCGGAGTTGCTCGTGCAAAATTGAGATTTTTGTATACCAATGCTCAAAGTCTCGTCTCGAAGATCGACGAACTCAAAGCGATAGTACCAGATCGAATCCCCGACGTCATCGCCATAACAAAAACTTGGCTGAATTCCGGAATCGTGGATACTGAGATTTCGATACCGGGTTACCAGCTGTTTCGTAGACCGTCAAAATAGACAAGAGGTTCTTATTGCTGGGGATTTCAACGCACCTGTAATAGAGTGGGAAACTCTGGCAGTTAACGATGGGTCAGCTTCTCTCAGAAATAAGCCACTGGACCTCACACTCGATCTCTCTCTGGCGCAACATGTAAAAGTACCAACAAGATTTCGAGAGAACCAGAGAGGGAAATGTCTGGACCCGGTTTTCACTAAAGACTTCTCTAATAGCGACGAAGTGTATTCCAATGTACCCCTCGGGAAAAGTGACCATGCTGCGCTAATATGGGATTACTTGCTCTTCTCTCAACGCCAGAAGAGAACAGAGGGCTAACCTAATATGTGGAAGGAAGATTTCAACATGATGAAGAACAAATTTCTGTCCGTGAATTGGGACCAATTGCTCAGGGGATATCCGGAGGACGACTGGAGACCTTTTAAGACGATTTAACTCGATCTCATTCGGCGCTGTTGTCCACCTAAACTACAAAATAAACAACTAGTCGACCAGATTGGTTACCTAGGGACCTAAATAGGCAGCTACGGAAGAAAAGCAAAAGATGGAAAATATCCAGGACAGCTGCGTCACCAGCGCATTTCGAAGAATTTCGTCGTCAACGAAATGCAGTCAGAAAATGTATCCGTCAGGCACGGAAGGAGTATGAAACCAAAATAATCCGATAGGCCGAACAGCAGCCCAAGATTTTATTTCATTATATTAACAGTAGACTGAAAAACAAGGACCTGGTCGCAGCGCCGAAGGAGGATAATGGTGTAGAAATCATTGAGAACAGCTGGAAAGCCGAACACTTTTGAGGGTATTGTGTCTCGGTTTTTACTAGAGAAACAGCGTTTTGCAGTCGCAGTACCGGCAATACTGTTGAGACTGCTGGTCCCGTGCTTGACTCCATACTCTTCCCGACAGATCCGTTGAAAGGGAGCTGCAAAATCTCAAAGAAGCAAGGTCCTCGGGCCCGGACAATATACCGACCAAATTCTTGGAAGAATTGGTGAATAAACTATCCAAACCACCGGCACACATCTTCCGCTCGTCATTCGAATTAGGGAGGCTGCCATCAGAATGAAGACAGCAGATATCTTTCCGATATACATGGGCGGGGCTCGCACTTATGCTAAGAATTACCGGTCTGTTAGTCTCACCTGCATCTGCTGTAAACTAATGGAGGTCATAGTTAAGAAAGCGACAACGAATTTCCTGGAGCAGGGCCATTTAATCTCAGACCTGCAGCAGGGCTTCAGACAGAACCGCTCGTGCCTTTCCAGTTTATTGCTCTCGACGGAGCAATGGACTCGCGCACTGGATGAGGATGGTAGGATGGATGTCATCTACACAGACTTTAAGAAAGCGTTCGACAGCGTCCCACACAAACGCCTAATCTACAAACTTTCTGAAATTGGGATAAGAGGAAGGCTGCTGACATGGATAACATATTTGCTTACCGGGAGATCACAAACCGTGTACGCTGAGTCCTCAAGGTCAACTCCTATCCCCTTCTAAGTGCTGTACCTCAGGACTTCGTCTTAGGGTCGTTGCTATTCGTGGTTTACATTAACGACTGCGTCGACGACCTGGGATGCAGCGTCATCATGTTTGCTGACGATGTTAAGCTGAAGAGAGCCATCAGATATGACGCATACAGGTACGCGCTTCAAGACAGTCTCAACCGTCTGAACAGTTGGTCAGCTCGTTGGCTCCTTAATTTTAATGTGGACGAATGTGTGGTCCTGAGACTCCGCACAAAAAGACCAGCAAGGAGCACGATCTCTCTCGATACGCCCTTGTTGGTCAGTCCCTTTCAGCTGTTGTGGAACAGAAAGACTTTGGCGTCCTAATGACCTCCTCGCTGAAACCATAATCACAATGCCAAAGGGCAGTTGAAAGTGCGATAAGGGTGTTGTTTACGCTGAGGTGAGGATTTGTGCATATCGATAGAGACCTGTTCGGAAAAACCTATGGGACATTCGTTCGGTCTCACTTGGAGTATACAGTACAGGCCTGGCGACCGTGGTCAAAGAAAGATTATCAACGAATGGAAAGAGTTTAGGCGATGGCTACGAAGATGGTCATGAATGTTCATCATCTGCCTTACGAAACCAGGCTGACCGAACTAAATCTGTTTCCTCTAAATTACAGGCAACTGCGCTGCGATCTTATTCCAACCTATACGATTGTCAGAGGCCGTGAGTGTGCTCTAGTCTTTGATAAATTCTTCGAATTGGCCGGGACTGACTGTCTGAGCGGTCATCCCTTCAAACTGCAGAGGAAGCTGGCTCATCCGGACGTCCGACGGAACGCTTTCTCTCACAGGGTCATGGGGGCATGGAACAGACTCCCTGATACGGTGGTTATTTCCGAAAGTGTCTAATCCTTTAAGTGTATATTAGATGATCATTTGTTGAGAAACTACTGTATATATAATAACGATTGTTTTAACGGCGGCAGTTAGCGCATTGCTCACACCTACCGTTAACATTTGAACTTTCCGCATTTGCTGATTTAATTGATGACTTTATTTCTTTTTATCGATATGAACAGGGAGCTCAAGGGCGAAAGACTCATTCCCTTAATGAACTGACTTAAACGAATGCCGGCGTCCTTGTGAGGTAGATAGCATCGCGCTCATGACACCGCGAAACCCTTTGCCTCCTTGTTGGCGTCTTATACCGCGGTCGAAACACAAATGCAAAAACTTACTTTGCACACTCCCTTCTTTTAGACTTGGGAGTCTTTTCCGACACTACGACAAAAAATTAACACCGTTCGCTTATTCACATCCACCACCAGTTACCTTATTGTCTTCAATTAACTAAAACAAACTGCCCCGGGGTACTTGTTACGATTTTGCGAGAGGCAGTTTTTGGTGTGGTCTGTTGGATTTGAGGATGTCAGTTCCGGAAAAACTAGCTGTGAACGGGGTAAGTACTTGTATTAACGAATTTCCTAGTAAACATTAACTTCTGCTACACGGAACTGGATTTTTGATTTACCACTTTACTTTAATTCCATGCCATGATATATCATGGTCATATATGGCCGTTGCAAATTTCCTAGTCATATTACTTTGCGTCGAGGATTTGCTCGAATAATTAGAACTAACTGATTAAATTGTTTCCTGAAACCTCAACACACTAATATAATGTCGACTGCTTCAGTTTTCATAAGCCATGCGAGTTTCACGGTCGTGAGTCAGGCTTGCAATCCAAAAACTGGTCTACCCTTTTTTCATTCCTAGGTTAAGTTCGGCGCCATGTTGAAGTTTCCCGGTCATCTGCAACGTGAGGTCTTTTATTCTTACAGATGTATTAGCAAAGATAAGAAGTCAATAAAATGCCCTTGTTAAGGGTCATAACACTGCAGTGCGGGGCAGAAGTGGAGCAATTTCCCCAGAATGATTTGCAGGCTGTGTGCCTGAGTCTGCTTCCGGCTTCAGTTTGTGCTCATGTAGGCGGGTCTGGAATTTCCATCCCTTACCTCCGTCAAGCCCCACAAACATGCCAAAACGATGGGGACAGCGAGAAAAATCGATCACTCCAAAACCGACTAGCTTGACCAGTCATTTAAACTTCTGGTTGATTTTCGACATTAAACACTTTAAAAGTGGAGAAACTACGAAGCTCTTTGAACGTCGGCAACAGAGCAAGTATGTTCCAGTGAGCAGCTTCGGTTTCTCAGATTATCACCTCGGAGCTCCCACGTTCGCGAACACAATATTGTAACACTATTTAGGCAGGCAATCGTGGTTTATCTGTTAGGTTTGATTTTTTGTTCTGTTAACCATGATATCGTAAGCTTTGTGCCCTATTGATCGGTCACTGGTAGCCCTTGGGCATTCGCTCCGAATTCTCAACCAAAACCCACTGCAATTTCCGATTGGCAAACACTTCTTCAAACATGGCTGAATGATGGCGCCACTATTCAGCTGCATTTGCCGTAGTCTGCAGATTGTCTGCTTACAGTCCGAATACGTTCGGAGTTTCACGCCGTGCCATTCCCCCGCAGCATTATTTGGGAGTTAGTATAGTGAACAGTCACGTGTAGAGTGATGTAGTGTATTCCAAAAAAAGAAGTTGCTAGTCATATTAATGGACATTTGAAAAATCCTCTAAGACAAATAATCTTTACTTTAGAAAATGCTCCACAGAAGGAATTAGTTGTCTTGATCCGAGACACTCCATTTCCGTTCGAGGGTTTCCTCCTCCATGCCAGCCCGTCAACAGTACTGTCCTCATCCATATATTCTGCTTCGTAACATCTGTCAGTCAGCGGACGGCGCGCAGCTTCTGCACTACCTTTTCCCTACACGCCTTGGTGTTATTTGTCTATGTGAGTTGCACGGCTCAGAAATGATAGGTGGGGTTTACGGTCACGTGGGTGAACTCACGTTAATGTAAGGCGTCAACTGATCGTTACCTACTGTAGTTACTGTCAAGCAGAATTAAGTTTGACAGAATTCCTGTTGGAGGTAACCTCGTCCAAAGAAAAAGGCATTTGCTGATGATGCAGTATGGCGTGTCATGACCATCTTGTTCCATAACCACCTACAAAACGAAATCAACTGCAGGCCTCGCTTATGGTTGTTTCAAACTATTTTTGTGCCGTTGGGGTCGCACCATTCCTTTTTTCGCCCACTACACTGATGGCAAAACGATGTCAAGGCTATTGGAGGTTAGTGCGGGCGCTGTAGTTGACAGAGTGAAACAGTCCGTTTACGCGTGCCACACACGGTCTGGTCCCCGAGACGTGTACCGGCGTACTGTAAAGGCGGCTTAAATTGCACACGCGCGAGCACCATAAAGAAAACATTAGGAACAAGCCACAAGAGTCTTTCAGTCCTGAGGAGATCAGGCTAGCAATCCTCCAGGCCTCATCGTGATATATTATAGCGCGCCATACATTCACATTGAGGGATGCGCTGATGTGCCGAGGGATGGACTTCCAGTGTCCATCACTCTCCCCTCTTCCATGCACAATTTTACCCTTTGAGCCTGTTAAACGACTGATCGGATTAAGCGCAATGGCTGACGCGGCGTGAAGACCTACGACCATGTATGCAGTACGCATGCACGGCAGTAATTATGGGCTCGCACGACGGTGCAGCCTGATGTGGGGGCCAGCCATGAATATCAGTGTTTATGTTGCACACTGCCGTTGTTTTCCCCACTTCCTGTTTATTCGTAACTCTGTTGGTTCACGTAGCCAAAAATGCTAATTAGGTAGAACTGCTAGTCTAGTTGCCATTTTTCGTAGTCCACACTGCCAGGGTCCAGATCCTCAAGACCTGTCTATCGACTTATTGTCTACTTTCTGCCTGTCTGAACAACAGTAGCGCAAGGGTTGAGGCCGCCTTTTCATCTTTCCTCAAATAGCGCACGTTATGACGCGTCTTACTACATAAAATTACTTTTTTGAACGATTTGTTTAGCTGATCTACTCATCGGAGCCTTTGGTTTTACGACCACCTGTCGGTACCGAAGTACCGAGCTCACTGAGGCCTGTTCGCTATCGACTGCTTCTACGTATCCTCGGTATATTCATACTACTCGCAGTGTCGGCCGCCTGCATATTTTCACTAATTTTCCTGCTGAGTCACTCGCTACAACGATTCGATGGTCAGTGCACTGTCTTTACGTACGATTCGGACATGGAATTCAACGAACACTACACCCTTCAGCCGCGCGCTGCAGTCATCAGTCGACCTGCTGTTGATGGTTTCCCGCCCGTTCGCGTCTTTCACATGCTGGATGATGCCGCCACGGTGATGGAGACAAGGGCTGTCTGCTACGTCTATCCGATGCGCCCTGAGGTGGCTTCTGCAATCCCAACGGACAGTGGCCTCTTGGAACGCATTAAAGTACTACATTGATGTTTGTTTCATTCGTCTCATTTGCGTTAGAACGAAGTCGTGAAATTGGTTGCTTCCTTACACGTTGTCGGTTTTAAATGTTTACAAAGAACTGCCTTATTGCTGTATGCATCCGCCTTTCGCCGATAAATAGGTCTAATTGCCCCCGAAACATCAGTGAATCTTAGAAACGCGCTTAAGGATTATTGTCGCATTTTTGAAACACTTGTGTTGTTGTATTCTGCTGTTGAAATCGCTTCTAGCATATTGGCTCTAATTTTTTGCGTCCCTGCCTGCCAAGTCATTTGGACCACTCAGCCACCCCAAATTCAGCCTCCCCCTTATGGTCACCAGTTATTTAGATCCTGCGAAGAGGTTGACGATCGGTCCTGTCAGCGATCTAGGGCATTCGGGTCGTTTTCTCTAAACTGAGTTTAAGACGCATGGTGGAACCCAGCAGTTGTGCGGAAGCGCCGTTAACCACTTTATTGAGAAAAACTGGAAGCTGTGTTCGAATACTCACGACTGCTGCATCCTACACAAGCTGACCGTGGCTCATGGACGAACACTTTACAAAACTAGGCTATTTACTCCATCGGTCGGCGACCCCTCCTACTGCTAACGTAGAATGTCAGTACTCCTCCAAATTACCATTGAACAACGCTGGTCAGCTGTGAACTCGTCAGACAGCGTAGACATCGTTGCCCTCAGCGATATCCGCATCTCAACGCAAGGTCAGGGGAACGAGTTAATGCAGAACCCACTCTTCTCTAGGAAAACCAACGAAAATAACAATGTTGGCATACTGAAGTCGTCTTTCTCGTAAAAAGTGACATTGTTAAGATGCCGCCTTCCCTCGCACTTGAAATCCACGACCGACACATAAGAAATTCACCATTATCGTCTGAACTCTGACAGTGCCAAACCCGGACTTAGGAGCAATTTCTACGAACATTGGTTCTCCCCTTTGTCTATATCAAGAACGTACGAACTTATTATTGTGGCTGACTTCAATGCACTAGTGGGCACAGACCACGTTGCCTGGAAGGGAACACTTTGTCATTACGGGGTAGGGAACAGCAACGACAGCGGGCTTCGAAAAAACACTTGCAGAACACAATTAGTGTCACGTTAGTGCCAATTACAGCACTACGCGCTTGTTAGGAGGCGGGATCGCCCTGACGGACATGCAGTACGGGGGACCATATTTTGGGCAGGCCATTATCTACTTGCCCTAGAGATGACACTGCGAATCCAATCACTGAGGAATCCCCAAGAAGGAGAAGCACCAACGAGCTTGAACACTGCAATACCGAACCTGTCTGTACGCAGACTGGAGTTTCGGGAAGAGTGCTGAAAACAGCGGGACTTCTCCCACGCAACTGCAACGGTATCCTCTGGACTCTCACGCCAACACCAACATCTGGACAAGTTTAACAACAATCCGCAAAATTCGGCACCCACTCCCAGAAAAAACCGGCCTCACTAGACCTATACGATCAGCAGCATCACGGCAAGCAAGTTCGCATTCTCCCAGTGCCGACACCAAGAAAGTAGACGTTGCTGGGCATGCAAGACAGAAAATTCGAGGATACGATGGCCACAATGGAACTAAAAACTAGGGGACTACCAAGACAATTAACGACCATTAATCCAGGGTGACTGCGCAGTTGTTCAAGTGTTACTAGCCTCCCACCAGAAAGACGGAGGATCCCATAACGCTGGACCATACACTAATGCGTCCTCGGCCGCCCATCTTCAGCCTGCTAAGGTGCCGTCAGTATGTTTTTTCTAAATGTAAATCTGTACTCACCTTTGTCTATCACCTGCCTTGCCGAAAACGATGAGAGTAGTATAGCACGTGTCTAGAGCAAAGGCTCCGGACGCCGACTCGTCCCCAGCACAATTCTAAAAAGAAGGTGGTCCTCAGCTACTGGACAAAATAACCTCAAAGATATGTAAAGACAAGACCTGCTATTGCGATATTTCAATCATGTCACCATTTTGCACCGGCGAATCTGCAATAGTTGCTATTGAGTATCATCTAGTATTGTTGGCAAATTCCACTTCCGAATTTTCCTCGATCGATGGGCTTCATGCGTCAAACACGGGCTCCTCCCAGAGACGCACTATGGATTTCGGCAACGCTGTAGAACAACCGATATGATTTTCGCAACGTATCAACTTATGGATGGTACCAGGAAATAAGAACCATTTGTTTGTTTTCACAAAAGCCCCCCGCACGGAAACCGTAGAAGAGTTGAAAGTAATGGAATTCGGGTGTCCAGGGGTGTTCGCAATAGTTGTCGGACAGCTTTGTTGCGGCATTTTAAGGCGCCACGAACGACCGGACAAACCCGAAAAGCTTTTGACGTGACAAATGAAGCGATTGATAAGTTGGGACTCCTTGTACTCAGCTTTATCGTGCACTAAGGTGGTGTTCCCAAGAAAACAGTGACTTGTAATTTTGACGTCCCGTGGATGGTCTGGCCTGACTCCGTAGGTCAGCCATATATTTGCTAGGAAACGAAAACACCCCGAAGACACCGGCAGCCGTGTGAGTGTTCTTATAAGCTAATCGAACTCAACCCTCCTAACTGAGGACGAATACGCTACGGGTAAACTCCACGCCGGCCAACCTATTGCAACCGACTACTGCAGCATCTAAAAATGTCCCTTAATAGTTTTTTTGCTAACGCCACTGGCAAACACATTCACCAGTTTCCTAGAATTCCCACTCCGACTTTTCGGTTGACTTAAGTGACCTACTTGCTTAGGTGGCTGTCCTACAAATGCTGATTATCGCTTTCCGCTATGCAGGTGTCCTCGAGGAATCTAGAGCTCTAAGTCGAAATGGAATTGCCTGTATTCCGTTCCACATTCAGTACGGGCGGGTGAATTCCTACTGCAGTCGGCAAGGCGTGGGCCAGTTTATCAAGATGTTGAGCATTCAACGGAAATGCCTTAGGCTCAGATCTCACGTGTTCCCAGCCAAGTATTAGGTTATGACTGGCTCCCGACGGCAATTAATCCACAAATGACTATTCCATTCTCTCTTGTATTTGTCGGCAGTGTCTTCTGCGAGAAGCTCTGATTATAAGCTGTCCGTGGGCAGAGCAGTGTTCAAGACTCAATCATGTTGTGAATACCCGACCCTATCTTGCCAGACTTGTTTCCTAATATTGGATAAGAACCGAAGCCTGATTATCGCAATACTTATAACTATTGTCTTGTTCGTCTCCAAACCCGTCAATTTACTCTTGTCGGGGATTGGAAGTACACTGTAAGCATCACTCCTCAGGATGAATATGTATGTATGCTGAGAGTCGACTTGCAAAAAAGACTCACTAGTTAGGGACGTTGGACTTCTAACCAACAGGTCGTGGTATCGAGCCCCGGGTGTTCCACGCCTCAGAGTTGGATGTGGCTGGCTGACGACGGCTAATAAGCCAGAAACGGCCATTCCAGTCGCCCTCGTCTTTGTCGGTGATGCCATTCTATCTAATGAAACAGTGTTTGCCGATTCTGCGTTTTAAATTTTAACGTTTTTGTACTTGATTTTTGTAGGAGCATTCGCAGGCCCAAGTGAAGGTTCGGCTCTCTCTGGCGCCCCAGGTATGGATGCTGTCACCGATGACCCAACAGCTGCCAATCATTAGTCATCTGTCGGCCACATCCAACTGCTCGCAGCTCCCTACCTTCCACTTGATACAGCTTGTTCTCTCCGGCATTCAGATACTCTCGGTAAGGCTGCCCTTCCTTTGCTTCTTCATCATGCCATCCAAACATACATGGAAATCGCACCAAGAGCTGGTCTAGTTTTGAATACAACCAGCTAGACTCGGTTAGAAGCTAACATTGTCTCTGCCCGGTATTGAAGCCAGCCAGGGACGTCAAATTCGTCAGACATGGCCCTTCAGTTTCCTTGTTTCGACATATGAAATGTTTCGAGTGTAGGTCTCTTGCCTGCAAGAACTCTAGACCGGACCCTCAAGGCAAAAACAAGAATCCTATATTGCGCCCTATAATCTGGCCAGGCCAGTAAACGTCAATCCCATATAATATGCCTTCACGGAAATTTTTTATGTGGACCCACTCTATAAGGTAATGCGATAAACTGATTCTGTAAAATTTGTTTTCCTAAAACCGACCGGATTTTTGTAGGCAACGAAACATCAGGAGATTACAGACTAGAAAAGCCAGGTCTTAGTGACATGACATTCGAGAACTCTTGAAATCCCGGGCACTACTGTACGAGATTTCACACTGTTGCATTGTATGCATCGTAGTTTGACCGCCGTTGCCGACGATGTCCAACATATGCTCCACTGAACGGTGAAACAGACACGGTGACTTGCGCGTGATTTAGTTTATAGTGATAGTAGACTTGCGCGGCATCTACTGCAGTCTCTATTTGGGCATGTTCTTTGTCGTCCAACTCTGGAGCTTAGTGTTACTGCTCTCGATTCGGCACCGTTACCCCATTAGAGGCGTCGAAGAGGGGATCAACTCAAAACTTGGCTCGGCACAGTTCGTCAAGACATGGAGGTGGTTCTTGGACCTTTGGTACTTGGTGTCCGTTGTTTGCGAAGAGAATGGGTTGAAATGTCCAGATCTGCTGCTGCGGATTGTCCAGCTTGGAGAGGTACAGTTCGGGACATCATCGAGGCCGGCTGAATTAGACATGATCGCAGCCGTACCAAGTGCAAGTAAGTCGTTCTGTTGATCGCCATCTGCCCTTATGGATCGGTTGCCCCACTGCAGTTGTACCTGTCTCGGCTTGGCGTCCATACAGGTTCTTTCCAGAATCTCAACTTCTGTGGTCTTTCCCGGACGTTTAACATTCTAAAGACAATTTGGCGAGCACAAGTAAGCTTTCGATAAATTCGCATCATTAATAGGAAAGTGCGGGCAAGCAGAAGTTTTTCAGTAGCCGGGGTTTGGGGGGGGGAGGAGGGTCTGGGTGGGTGAGGTAAAAAACAAAATTACCGTCAGTGTGGACGCCGGACAGGCTTTCGAGTGATTTACAACGTCCCGTCAAACTATCCAAAATCACTTGGACAGCGTCTGTTGGCAACAGCAGAGGCGGCTGGAAAAAGGCTATACAAACCAGTTCTATGCGCACAAAAGAACTTCTGTGGCGGTCAATGATGTGAGATCAACTTAAACCACGCAGAATAAGTTAGTCTCGTCTAATGGCAGAAGTCAGGGAGCTATGAGGACTAGTTTATTCTGTACACAGGGCAGGTTGCCGTAAGTTGGCTGTTTGCTTGCAACATAAATAACTGTCCGTTCACGGAGAGCGTCAGTCGCGGTGTGTCGTTTACGCGGGGGTGAAAGTCAGTAGGTGGGGTGACTGGTTGAGTGCTGGTCATGAGATTGGACGGATTAGGGAAGGATTAATGGGAAGCATAATCACAGGGGCTCACGGGTATCAAGCCAGGTCGTCCGACGCGCGTGAGGTGATAATAGTTTATGAGGGCAGTCGGGAATCACTGCAGCTGGACAGGAGGGGCCTCAGTTCTAGCCGACGGGGGTGGTCGTGTGTCAGCTGGCTGGCAACGATTGTCGCGGCCATCGACCGGCAAAACGGAGCCGGAGAAAAGGGGGACTGGAGCGGCTGCTACACTTCGTACAGGTACCACAGTTACCATGGTCCAAAGCCACCATGCCAGCCAACTGCGTATAATTACCCGTCCCAGCGCCCACCATCTCTTTCTCCCCCCTGACCCTGACGGTAATTTTGTTTTTCACCTCACCCACCCAGACCCTCCCCCCAAACCCCAGCTACTGAATAACTTCTGCTTGCCCGCATTTTCCTTTTAATGATTTCGACAGCAATATAAATGTATAGACCTGATGAGGACTTGCTCGCCAAATTGTCTTTTGAATTCTTAAATGGTAATTCGGTATTCTCCCGAGTTTAAAGTGCGCTAGCGTCCCTGTTTGGCTTACGCTCGTAGCCCATGCAAGGACGTAGTCAGGACAGCAGCCCTCTATATCTTCAGTTTTATGTTGAAGAGGATGCCGCCGTGGTTCCAAACGAATTGTTGTGGCCAGCCGAAGACCCCGCTGGCGTGAGTCTTGGTGTCCCTTAAAATTTTACTCCATAGGTACGCGAGTTTGCGGCCGCGTTCGATTCCGTTCACCGTGAGTTCCTGTGGCGGATAATGGCGCTAGATCGTGTACCGGCAAAAATCATCGCCATGATCAAGGCCTACTATCGTTCCACTACTGCGAGAGTCCTGGTCCGTAACAATCTTTCCCAACCGTTCGGTACTCGGTCTGGCGTCCGACAGGGTTGTATCCTGTCACCCATACTCTTCAACTACGCTATTGACTGGATCCACGGGAGGGCCCTACGCGTCAGTGCCGGCGTTGAATTTGCACCCGGACATCGACTGACTGATCTCGACTACGCCGATGATATCGCCTTACTTGCTTCAAGTTTTGGTGATCTGCAGTCTATGGTGTCACGGATGAACGAGGTCGCTAAATCAGTCGGTTTGTCCATAAACGCTGGGAAGACCAAAGTATTCTCAAGCTGCATCCCTGACCAGGAGAGGCACCCCTGGGGAGTGATGGCTGTCAACTTGAAGAAGTGGACAGTTTTAAATACCTCGGGGCGAGGCTCCTGCCTAATGGACAGAGTAAGGACGACATTGTCTCCTGAATCGATACTGCCCGCTGGGTTTCTTCAAGCCTTCGGAAATACCGACGTGACCTCTCCATCGCCACTAAAATTCGCGTATACCGTGCATCTGTCCGCTCTGTCCTTCTCTACGGCTGTGAATGCTGGGCTTTGCGCGTAGAGGATGAGCGAAAACTGGAGGTATTTGACCACCGCTGCTTGAGGATCATCCTTCGAGTGAAGATAACTGACTTCGTCTCAAATGAGACAGTCCGCGCTCGCTGCGACAACATCGCAAGGATAACTCGGGCCAACTAAGAAAGACGACTGAGGTGGTTCGGGCATGTTCTTCGTCGTCCGCCTCAGGAGCTTAGTGGTACTGCCCTCGATCCGCCACCGTTGCCCCATTGGGGGCGTCGAAGAGGGGGTCAGTTCAAAACCTGGGTCGACACTGTCTGTCAAGACATGGAGGTGGTTATTGGACCTTCGGTATTCGGTCTCCGTCGTTGGCGAAGGGAATGGGTTGAGCTGTCTATATCTGCTGCCGCGGATCGTCACGCGTGGAGAGGTACAGTTCGGGACATCATCGAGGCCGGCTAGATCAGGCATGATCGCAGCCGTATCAAGTACAAGTAAGTTTTCTGTCGGTTCGGTAACCGATCTCGACCTCCGGCCGCCCCTCATAGCAGTCACAAATGAGCATGAGGTAAAATAAGGTGGAAAAGAGTACACAACCCTGCTTTGACCCAGTTGTCGCGTCGAGTGCTCCCGAGGCTGTTCCTTTTCCGTGACGCACGTCACAATCCCGTCCTAGAGCTGTCTTACTATTTGAGGTATCTCTAAGGATATCCTAATTTAAGCATGATTCTCCTGGTTTCATCGCAATTCACATCATCAGTCACATCTGTTCGTTACTTCTCACACTCCACTTTGGTTTCTCTTAGATCCCGCCACCAGAGATGACCAATCGGCCACTAAACTGTCCTGAAGGCTGCACCGAGGGTGTAAGTCGGGATACGTTGAACGGCGACTATCCTCGCACCGTCTGTCGTTGTCAGCCCGACAAATCACCTGACTTCCTGGACACGCCTAACTCCCATCAAAGGCCTTCGGATCGTGGGTCGCTGTCCATGGGTACGCCTGAGTGTGCGAAGGACAAAGCTGATTCCTGTCAGCTTACTTTAATTATTGTCTTTCTTGCCCTTTGTGGTTGCCCTTTTCTTACACGGCCAATACTCTTCCTATCCGAGGTCCGATCTCCCACCTTGATACCTGGCCGACGCGTTAGATCGCCCAGTCACTAGGAACCCGCTTTGCATCATACACAGTAGGGCTTGTTTTCGAATGTTATACACTCATGCTGCCGGAATTTCCCACGAGGGTTTGTCCCATCCTTGTTGGGATCGAATCCTCTGAATCCAGTAGCAGATATCAACGCTCTAGCATATTAACGTGAAAATTATTAAGGTTTGATGAAAACTCTTGTCCATTCTCATTATCTTGGAATTCCCAGTAGTTGTAACCGGCAGTACACCAGTCCTTCGAAGTTCTTTATAGCCTAATGAAAGTGGAATAGCGGGCGGTTTGCGTATTCTCAGACCAACTAATTGCATGTAAGCCGTCAGAATAGTAACACCGGAGCCAGCTACAGTAGCCACTCACGCGTCGCTCAAGCGCAAGTTATGAACCGCAACACTGGCCAGCGGAGCACTACACTCTCGCCTTTGCCAAAACACAATGAAGCTTTTTATCATCGATTACGATGGGCACGCTGTCATTTGCCCTAAATCAGCCCGAGCTTAAGGAGTGCAGCGTGGTTAATTGTTTACCAGGCACTGGGTAGCATGCTTTAAATTATGCTACTGAAGACGAAATACGAGACTTTCTTTCAGGAATACAACCGCCTGTCTGACTACAAAAGTCTCCCTAGCTCTTCCTTTAAATTTGGGTCACATTCATCCTCTTCTGTACTATTTGTTGGACTATCCGAAGGCAGCATTGAACCATGTTGCGTCTTTGCAAATGAAGCTTGGCAGAGTTTGTTGATATTCAGGCAGAAAGAGGTCTTTTTACGTGTTTTTTTTTGTAAAAAGATGATGCACTAGGTTTTTCGTGAAAACACCTCCACCGGTTTCCTGGCTTGTAAACGTTAATTGCGCCGTGCAAGCTATCTTTTACCTAGATGACTTGTACTTGTTTATGGGCTCCAGTATCTGAAGGTGGGTAGACGAATCAACTACTCGGGACGTCGGACCTCCAATAAACCCCTCCCGGTGAACGCCTGTTCTTTCACGTTACTTAGTTTGGTAATTGTTTATGACTCGGCTTTTACGTTTCTTTGGAAGTAATGCTCTTTTCTGAGTCCCTGTTTTAAATAGGTTTCTATAGAAGTGTGAAAAGGCAGCACTGGCAGATTAGCAGCGACCTTACATTTAGCGGTATTTGCCCTCGCAAACGCCTTTACTGTCTAAGCTCCGAGGCCCTCAGGGGTAGAGCTCAATGCCAGACCATGTGCAGACGGAACCATCCACTCTCGATTTTCAAATCTCATTTTTTTCAAATTGAGCAACTAGACCTTTCATTCTCAATCTCCCTACAACCATTAGATGTCGGACGTCTGCCTGTCGATGACTTTTCTTCACAAGTCATCGACTCACCCACAGCAGCTGACGGAAACTCCTGAAATTCCGAGACTCCCCGTTAGTTCCCTATTTCGTTCAATTGTCAGGGGCCAGCTATCATTCACGATATCTACGTTCATTCGCAAAGTCTTAAAAGCCGCTTACCTGGGGATTGAGCTTGGCACGGGGACAGCGCACCCGCGATTGACTTCCTGTATATGTCGTTCATACCTAACCTGCTTGGAACCCTTTTGACAACTTTTTAGTGGAGGGTAAGTACTGGCATAAGTCAGGAAGAAATTCGTTTGGCCTTTCAAGGGATCACTCGATGCGTTTAGACGGCTTGTATTTTGTCCGTAGCAGTCACAACGTCCCACTAGTTGATCATACTGTCGTACGTATTTTCAGAATTGTTTTTCTACTACCAAAAAGTTTGGAGAGCCTTCTGAAACTGACTTGCCAATGCTGACTGCTTGCTACAACCTTATTTTGGGAAAGAACTCATTGTCGGTTACCCGGGGCCAAACTTAAATGACAACCGGGAATTGGTTGGCTGATTCATAAATTTTAAAATGTAATATGCGTGAAGATGCGAGGTCCAGATATATTACCGTGTATATCATCCCCCGAGGAAGACGAAGATGAGAAATCGATTTCATGGACCAGGTTGTATTCAGACTGACGTTTCGGAAACACACTCGTTTCCATCATCAGAGTCGTGCGCTGACGTTTCCTGCTGGCCTTGATCTGTTCAGCCTTGCCGCCTGCCTCGTATTATAACCGTGCCCAGCGCACGTTTGTTGACTAGCCTGCTTTCCGTTGGCTGATTGTCGCCTCCCTGATCTCAGCCATCGGCGGACTGGCGTGGCTTGTGTCCCCCTCACGCCTAACGTGGTTGCCGCTGCGTCGGCGTGCTCGTTCGCCTCCCCCTCGTCAGACGGCGGGCTGATCGGTCTTTGTTCCTCAGGCGTGGTGTTTCCGGCCTCGCGAGTACGTCCGTGAGACGGTGTGCCACGCCGGTCACGTGACATTCGGTCAGCGCCTTCTCCTCTCTCCGCGAGCGTCGGTGGTCGACCCCGTGTGTCTGCCCTGGCGAACGAACTCCAAAAAATCCCGTCGCAAGGTTTATATAGAAGGCCCTCGCGAATTGCTGATGACTGGTTTATCTCTTCGCTAGTTCAATCCGATCTTCTGTTGCACTGATATTTGTTTTGGTGTGTTTTTTTGCGTGATCGTTTCCAGTGGACCCTTTGTCCTCACTTGCAGCAAGTCCCAACTGTGAATCCGTATCACTTGTCTTAAGGTCCTCTTGGAAGCTCCGAATTCTTCTTGCATCTTAGCTGTGTGGGTTGGGATACAGATTTTTATGGATCAGCGGTGTCAAAAAACCGAGCCTTATGAGATGACCATTCCGCCCTACCTTACTTTTCACTCAGCTCCCCTGTGTGGCTGCATGATGCAGTGTTGAGCTCAGTGGCTACATCCTGGTAGCCGCTTTGACCAGCTGCGAGTTAGTCGAATGCCTCTTTTATCGGCAGGACTAGGTCTAGTCCCATTTGCTCAGTATTGAGGAAGCAATCGTGCCATGGCACTCGCAGATACTGACTCCATACCAGACCAGCTACTGCATCCTAGCCTATGTCCTTCCGTTTTGCCATGTAGCATAGTGAATTTGGGACAAGAGAACGAAGTTTGCTTTGCAGATGCTGGGACTCGATCTTCTTTGGATCCGCGACGTCTTGCCTAATCGGCAAAGGTTTCTCTTGTGAGGCTTTATTTTTCCCTGTCTACACATTCATCGAAGCGGTCGAAGTACGACACCCAGGGCATATGGCTTCTTGATTCAGTTTTATTGATCGACTCCGCCTTCGTTGTTTGTGGGTGGATGCAATCATGCATGTGAACACACGATTTCATCGTGTCACCGTTTTGGAACCTTATTTAACTTCATTTTAGTCAACTGCCATACGAAAATATTCGCTTACATTTTCATCCCAGACTTGTTTACTTTGTAGAATCGGCTGTCCGTCGTCGTCGTCACATTGGCGGTTCTTTACCAAGCGTAAAATGTGAGTGCCGTTTATCTCTATAGCTTCGCCTTGTCTCATTCTCCCATTTGTTCCGGTTTGAGATTTTTTGCACTCGAAACATTGCCCGACTTAGTTTAACGGGGGCAATGAAGCCTTCTTTGCCTATAGTTACAGAGCCTACTGGCTTCGTCTTGAACAAGAGGTTTGCACAAGTAAGAAGCGTTTTCACCAAGCCCTTTTGCTAATTTGTTTGCACACATCGGTTTAGTTGGAAAATACACCAAAAGAGAATGTTTTCGCCATCCAGGAAATTGTGACTCACAGACAATTATCCTCTATAAGTCAAATAGGAGCGCAGGAACCGTGACTTTTCAGACGTCTATGTAACCACAATCCAGTAGCTCCTTCGACTAGGTCAGACCTGAGGAGGGAAGTCAGGATCGCCTATGGGAGAGAGCTCAGCCGTGCCGCTGCACGCTTTGATCAGGACTTTATACTGAGTTTGTCACTGCGTCCAATACCTGTCGCTAGTCGTCTTGGCGTAGTCATGCTTTATCAAGATGAATGCAAGAGAGGCCTATGATTTCCAAATCGCTACCATAAAAAACTAGTTCACTCTGCGTCCTCTGGAGTAATGCCGATTCCAGCTTTTCTCGAAAGGAGAGTTGCCTAAAGGGGAAGTTGCGCTCCGAGAATTTATTGAGTGAACCGCTCGAACCTCAGGAAAGCCCTAAACTTCGAGACTGCAAATACCGGTATATTAGGCATTCTACTTACCTCAAAGACGTCTGGTATCTCTGCCCTCCTGACTGTTAAAATTAATTTTCGCTACCCATGGGGCAAGTTTTATCGAGAATGGTTGGACCGTCGTAAACTAGACGTTGATGAACTACGTTTTGATGACACTCACCGCATTTTGGAAATTTGTAGAAAAACTCAACCCCTTTTGTGGGCATATATAGCAAAGCTTTTTCCCACGGATGAACATACTCTACAAAAAATGTGCTTCGGCATGTCGACTGGCTAAAACACAAAGCCGAGGGACAAGGCATGCCATGAATTAATGGTTAAGGTTTTCGATAATTTCGAATCCAACTGTAGAAATAGCAGCAAAGCCGGTATCTAAGACATGATATGTCTGGCTCATCTTTGAGGATGCGTCCATGTGCGTGAGACTTCGTCTTGTCTACTTGATACGGCTGCGATCATGTCTAATCCAGCCGGCCTCGACGATGTCCCAAACTGTACATCTCCAAGCTGGACGATCCGCAGCAACAAATCAGGACAGTTCAACCCATTCTCTTCGCAAACAACGGACACCAAGTACCAAAGGTCCAAGAACCACCTTTATGTCTTGAAGAACTGTGCCGAGCCAAGTTTTGAGTTGATCCCCTCTTCGACGCTTCTAATGGGGGTAACGGTGCCGAATCGAGAGCAGTAACACTGACCTCCCGAGGTGGACGACGAAGAACATGCCCAAACCTCCTCAGCCGCCTTTTTGTATGGTCTGGGTTATCCTTGCGATGTTGTCACAGCGAGCGCGGACTGTATCATTCGAGACGAAATCGGTGTACTTCACTCGAAACATGGTCCGCAAGCAGTGGTGGTCAAATACCTCCACTTTTCGCTCGTCTTCCAAGCTCACAGCCTAGCATTCACAATCATAGAGAAGGACAGACCGGATAGATGCACGGTACATGTGAATCTTGGTGGCGATGAAGATGTCGCGTCGGATTCATAGGCATTTTTAAGGCCTGAGAAAACCCGGCGGACAGCATCACTTCGGGAGACAATGTCGTCCTTACCCTGTCCATTCGACAGCGGCCTCGCCCCGAGGTATTTAAAACGGTCTACTTCTTCAACTTGACAGCCATCGATCCCGGGAGGTGCCTTCTCTTGGTCAGGGATGCAGCTTGAAAACACTTTGGTCTTCCCAGCGTTCATGGAGAAACTGATCGATTTAGCGATTTCGTTCACCCCTTGACACCATAGATTAGATCGACAAAGCTTGGAGCTAGCAACATAACAGTTCGACCGTCTTCGCCGACGAAGCCCACCGTGATCTAGTAAAGCGATATCATTAGCATAGTCTAGATCAGTCAGCGGGCGGCCAAGTGTAAACCCAGAACCGCCAACTTCGCGTAGGACGTTTTCCAGAAGCCAGTGAATGGCGTAGTTGAACAGAGTGAGCGACAGGATACAACCGTACCAAATGCCAGGCCGAATATTATACGGTTGAAAGAGATTGTTATGGACTAGAACTCGCGCGGTGGTCGGACTTCTAGACTTCGTTGGAATGTACTTTACTCCCAGGAGATCGCCTCTCTCACAGCTTGAAAGATGCCTTTAAAATTACCAGTTGGGATAAAAGATCAGACAGCATTCTATGGTCGCAAGCTTTTCAGTCATAATTGTTTGAAATGTGATTTGTAATACAGCGAGAATAAAAAGATTACGAGTAAATGTGAAATATCTGATCCTTCTTATAACGTATTAGAGACCTGTAAAAGTTGGAATCTTCCATGTAACCAAAAAAGTGTTTAGCCAATTTATATTCGTTATGTAACTACCAACGGAGGTAGACTGAGTACAGTGTATGGGGATGGACGGTATCTCACAAAACGCTACACGCCAACTGCCTGCTTTCCCATCATTTCCCGTTGAATATTCAAACGAGTCCTTATCTCGAAGGCTCTCCATGCTAACGTTGTTTCCTAGCACGACGTGTACTCCAGTATAATAAATCTGACGCGTTTTAACCTATCACGGTGAGCTATCAGACCTGACTTCGGAAGTTGCCAACTGGTGAGATAACTTGGTCCACGTGGGGAGTATAGTGGAGTAGTTGGAGGACTGAGAGTCGGGCTACAGTGGCTCCCTCCCAATGTGGCTTTCATGACATTCTGACCTACATGGGATCCGAGCTGCCTTCACAGAGGCCTGGTACATGCGGTGGGTATCAGATCATGTAACACTTGTGACATTCTGTTTAACTGTGCCAGCCCCTGCGCTCACCTCTGGTCGTCTTAGCTTTGTCTTGCCACCGGAGAAAGGTGGGTAAGAGAAAGTAGAGTGTTGTCGGTGCTACACAAGTCACCACTGGGCCCAACCTGTGGGACATTCGTTGGTAGCCGTTGCTTGCAACAGTCGAACTGTCATATTAACGACACAATTTTGCATTCTTTTTTAAAATGTACTTTATCTGTCCTAAACTGTTGAGAGACGAATGCTGTTGTCCCTAAAAAGGAGATTGCGGTACGCCTTGTGCTTTGGCGAGTTTATTTAGGATTGCTGACTGACCCCTACACTTCAGCGTTTAGATGTCTTCCATGTTTGGTCGAGTAATTCATTCACTTCCAGCAAGTGCTGCTGCTTATTCATTTTTGTGGCTAACCTCTTAAACGTGTATGTCTCGACTAAGCTTGCTCTTTTTTCCTACCAGCTTTCCGCGGCTGTGAAATCGTCGACCATCTCCTGGAGGCAGCTTTGCCCATGCAGGACGTGAACAGGATTCCTGAAATGATTATTTTAAAGTGTCCTCAGGTGGCATCGTAAATATTTCACTTATTTAGTGCCTGACCCTCCTTGGTACCATCAAACACCGTCAGTCAGCAAGTCCATTCACCCATCTACTCACATTTACTCGTCTCCATTCTCTCATCCCTACGTAATTTGTTTTATTATGGACACGTCCTCATTGCCTATATAGCTATCATAAATAACTCACAATGGCTAATCCCACTGCATTTATTTGCCAGACGTGTGTTACTAGCAGACATTTTCCCTGCCGAAGTTCCCTTTGGTATTGCTCACTTAACTGTTTTCCCTCGCATTTCAAATTACTGTACTGCGCCGGTTTCTTCATTCACTTTCCTGTGCCCGATTCCAAAAACTCGTCATCCAAGTTGCATATGATTTTCCCGGGGATTTATCTTCTATACTAGTAAGGAGAATTTTATTTCAGTCCTGATTTAGACAAAATGGGTGCTCCATGGTACATCCAGCTATCTGGGTAGTATTTTGTCCCTGAAGGGAGGCGTGTGCAGTCTAGTGCAAACTAAGACTTTGCTGTGCTCGAGACCTGCTTTCGTCCTCCCTTGCTTTCAAGTTCTGTCACGAGTCGTGCCTGCCTCAGACCTGTATACTGTTTTCCGGGAGTCAGTCCTTCGACAACCTACGTACCCTGAATCTTTACTTTTTGGGAACTTTCAACCACGCTGTTGCAGCTATTGTTTTACTGCTTGAAGGGACTAGCCGACACTATGTTGAGCCGTTCCAGCGATATTCTTATGACTTCTTTTTTCCTTGACACTTGCAATCCGTGATGCCGACAGTAGCTACTGTGAGGGAGAACTTATGGCCGAATTCTCCATAGCGTAGATAAGCTAACGGGTTTACCCAGGACTGATAAGGTAAATCAAAAGCATGCTAATTTCCTGCGTAGTGGCCGACAAGGCTAAACAGCCGCTCTAAACGTGCCGCAGACCACCTGGTCTCCACCCTGCGTACTCTGCTCCTATGAGAGCGGCTGGGGTCTCACAGGTCGCCTTTGGCTCCGTTCAACGAATGCTCGCGGATAGCCGTTGGCTCTGAAGAGTTCCTGAGGGAGCTTCGTCTCGTCCAGTTTGGCGTGCTGCAATGAGTTTTCAACCGTCTGTATAGGGTGCGTGCATAGCTTCGTTTGTGTTGCAGTTGGTTGTTGCTGTTGTAACTGAGCATTTGCAGCGCGTCCATCGGTTTTCTGAAGAAGGCCACCGCCAGTTTGCCGTCTGGTTGGCGACAGACGAGAACATCCAGGAATGGAAGTTTTTCCTTCACTTCCTCTTCCATCGTGAACTGCAGATCGGGAATGATTGAGTCCAGTAGCTCCCCATAGTAGTTAATTTTATCCCGATCGATTATTACAAAGGTATCATCAACGTGCCCAAAACTTGGGTCTGTACTCCCTGGACAGTCGCCTCTCGAGTTTTTGCAGAACCGCCTCGGCAATGAACCCGGAGATTGGTGAATCCATCAGTGTCCTTAATTTGCTCACATATGATCCCTTCGAAGGTAAAGAATGTCTTGAGGCAGTGTCCCGGAGTTCTATGATATCCTGAGCTGCAGGCTGACCATCGCCCTCATCATAGTTTTGACTTCACAGGTCACTGAGCGTTTCAACTGTAAGGACCCGTAGTGTGGACGTAAAGAGTGAGACGACAACGCTTTATTTTGAAAATATTATTCAAAACCTTCAGCAAAAATGGTTCCGTTTATTTTGACTAGGATAAAAATTACTAATGATGCGAGAGTAAATAAGTTTGAATAGGTTTCTGAGTATGTATAGCGGAGACAATTCAAGCGGAAGAAATATCAGAACAATAAAGAATGAGCGGGAGGATGCAGGAATCCCTAAATCACCAGATTAGGGGTTGAAGTGTGTGATTAGGACGTAGACAACGAATATAATAAATAAGTTTAGGGATTTTGGTAACATTATTTCAATATAAAGGGAGAATAAGAGAACTGAGAATAGAGTAAAACTAAAGTATCAGATAGGGATTCCTCCTTGAAAAGGATGTTCAAGGATTAATGAATGGGAGAGGGTCTCAGTCAAAAAGCACATGGGATTGATTTCTGATTGCTGAATAGAAGACCATTGTAGGATGCATTCTCCAACGACCATACAAAGTGAAACACAAGGGCTTACTTTAATAACCAGTTATTGCTGGCGTAAATAGTCACTCCACCCCTCTGCTGCTTCCTGAGTATTTCCTATCACTTCGAATGATGCAGGACGAAGAAGTAATTGGATGTGAATCGATATCGCCATTCAGCCATGTCTCCTGAAGACGGATAACTTAAGTTTTACCGTCTCCTTTTGCCAATATAAGTAGTTAGATAACGTGAGTTTTGTTAAATTCGAACGACGGTTTGTCGATAGGAAACCACAAATTGACAGCCTATTCTTTGGTTAATGCTTGATTGCAACTTGCCATCCTCGGCGACTTTTTCGATGTATAATTCTTTGCTGGTAGATAAATGACGAAGATAACAGAAAATCACAAATGTGACATTTCTGCCGCGAAGTGCAGCAGCTGACGGCATGGGGAGTGGTCGGCGAATTCGATGCAGAAATTTCGCAATTTTCAGTTCCTTCAAAATGGTGCTATCATACTGTGCAGAGGACCTCATTAGCGTGTAGAGGCCGAAGACGTTAGGAGTGGCACACACGACATCACTCAGCACTGACGATAAATCCTTACTTAAAACGAGCTGGACAGGGTAGTGAGGTGCGCATCGTTCTCATCAAACAAGGAGAAAGAAGAGATAAACAGATACAAATTTTATGCTGGGAAAAGGAGACAGAAATATATAAAAACGGTAGATGTTACTAAGGTGGATGAGTTACTAAGAGGGGATGATCCGTCTGGATGAGAGGTGGCGCCAATATGCCCGCTAGACAGCCGGTGGGGATAGCAGCGCTGTGGGCAACTGTTGGGGAGGGCCGTGCAGACGTAGAGAGAACGTTGCGATGAGTTGCGGGGAGGGGGTCGGCGGGAGAGAGGGAAAGCACCGGCTAGTTTCGTGGACACGCGCTCCCCATCCCCACCCTGGATCCGCGCCAAGTGCCCACGGCATTCAAACAACTAAGTCGAGTTGGTCAGGCGTTACAGGCGTAGTGCGGACAAACAACGGGAAGAGTTAATATATCACGAATGTAATAGGTCTAGGAGTGTACACTTGCGAAGAGGCCTACGCGAATGACAAACACAAAAGTGACGGCTCAAGTTGGAAACCATACATCTCAAATTTTGCTCTGTAGGAGACTACGGAAGGAGTGATAATTACAAAAAACTTGTGAGTTGTGAAGCCTTCGCAAGGGGGAGGACATTTTAGATTTTTTATCTAGACACTCCTACAAGCGGATTAAAATTTAACCAAGGTTATTCCAGCCACGTTAAGCGTTTTGTTAACCGACGCCAGCATTTACGCTCGGACGAATTAAATATAGGCTAGCTCACAGTTGGTAGCCAGGAACGGGAAAGCGGACGGCGACCTTAACCCTAACCTTAAACGTTAACGGCTAACCCTAACGGAAACCTTAACCCTAACACTAACCGAAATCGTAAACGTAACCGGTAGCCTATTCGTAACCTCAAACGTAAAACGGAAGCCAAATGGGTCAGATGTGATTATGGAGCCCCACAAAAAGCCCCAGTAAACAAACCGCAGCCACCTGTAATACGGGGCCTGACTACCAACTGTGATCTAGCCTAGATAAACTTGAGACAGCGCATATTTCTGTGTAGTGCCGACCGTGCCAGCACCAGTCCCGGTCAGCGCCCTCTGCCCCACGGGGCTGGAAGGCGATACTTAGCGAGGCTATGGCGCGGACTGGGACAGTTTGGCCTCCTCAGGCCCTGTCGCCGAAGAAATACGTAGGGGTTCGCCGCCTTTCGCTCGTTCTTGCTCCCCCTCCCAACTCAACCATTCTTATACCTGTAGGGCAGTTTGGGCCATGACCTTTGGACTGTACTGTACTCGGTTCGGAGCAAGGCTCCTGGATAATTTTCTTCAGGCAGGATATTGCGTCGTCGGTACAAGGTGTCTACCGAACGTCTGTGCCGAGACGCCAGACTATCTTACATTTAGCTACCTGTTCACCATCCCTGAACTTACTGCTTATTTAACTGAATGAAAGGAACTTGGCTCAACGCGGCGCGCGTAGCATGTGTTGAACTATCATATCATTCGACATTTAATTATTAATTTTTCCAGAAGAGTATTTGGCGGGCTTACAGGTGCTCTCGATGAATTCTCATCTGGCCCGTACATTTCTGTGGGGACGAGGTACAAACTGAACATGTGTGCTAGGTGCAATCGATTATGGTTCGTCCTTTAATACAAACGGGGTATGTGAATAGAGTGGGGGAGGGGAGAGGAGAGGATGGACTCGGTGACAGTGAGGGTTAGGTTGAGCCGTGCCACAAGGGGGAGGGGAGGAAAGGTGGGGGCGCGGAGACCCGCGTACAGTTAATCGATCCTGGCCCACGGTAGACGCGGAACGTGCAAGAGGTTCTTCTGCGCGCACAGGACCAACCTCTGTAGCCTGATGACAGTTGTCTCTTCTGTTTCTAGTAGGCGCTGACTCAGTCGCTTAGGTTAGTTAGATGGGACCTCGTAAATCACACGGAAGGCTTCGTTGGGATCCACACGGTGCCCAGAATCAACCATGAGTGCGAGGATGGAGCTGTGTATGCTCTTAACTTCACCTTCCGTCAACCATGCCGGCAGGGGTTCTCGTATTCTTGCGGATAGGCGCCGACTCGTACGACCAATGTAGCCTGCTCCACAGGAGCAAGTAAAGGAGTAAATACACACGGAGGTGGTCTGAACTGCAGTTCAGCGTGTGCTCGATCTGTGCGAGAAACGTAGCTTTTCTGCTACACCCCCTCCTTGATGCTCACCCAATTGCATTTTCCACGTCACGCCTGGGGGTCCCTTTGCACTTACGCACGCATGCAGGGTGCAAGCACACACTTTGTCCGGGATTTAGGCTCCTGTCTGGCGAC